TGGAAACTGGGTCCATTGCAGATGTAACTAGATAAGTTAAGATAGGAAGGAGGGTAGACCCTTATCCAATGACTGACTGATGTCCTTATAAAAAGGGAAATTTGGCCAGCCTGGGCAAAATGGCAAAACCCTCGTCTCTACAAAAATTAAAAAATTAGCTGGGCGTGGTGGCAGGCGCCTGTAATGCCAGCTACTCAGGAGGCTGAGGCAGGAGAATCGCTTGATCCGGGGAGGCAGAGGTTGCAGTGAGCCGAGATTGCACCATTGAAGTCCAGCCTGGGAGACAGAGCAAGATTCCGTCTCAAAAATAAAAAACAAAACAAAACAAAAAAAACCCAACAACAAAAAAGGGAAATCTGGATACAGACATGCCCATAGGGAGAACGCCATGTGAAGATAAGGCAGAGCTCAGGTGATGGAGAAGAAACCAAGGAATGCCAAAGATTGCCAGCAAACCACCAAAATGCAGGAGAGAGCTGTGGAACACTTTTCCGTAACATAGCTGTGATTTTAAAACGGGCAAATGTCTGAAATTTCTTTTCCAATTGCCCAGGCGTTAGAGACTGTTTTATATTCTGAAATGAAAAACAATTTTTACTTTAGCAATCAAGGACCTTCTTTCTCTTTCCTTTACTCTTAGAATTAAATATTGAGGCCAGGTGCAGTGGCTCATGCCTGTACTTGGGCCCAGGAGTTTGAGACCAGCCTGAGCAACATTGAGAGACCTTATTTCTATCAAAAAAAAAAAAAAATTAGCCAGAAGCAGTGGTGCGTGTCGGTAGTCCGAGCTACTTGGGAGGCTGAGGTGGGAGAAGCGTTTGAGCCCAGGAGGTTGAGACAGCAGTGAGCTGTGATGGGACTACTATACTCCAGCCTGCGAGGCAAAGTGACCCTGTCTCAAAAAAAAATAAATATTGACTAGATCAGATTCTTTCTGTGCCCTGAAGAAACCAGCCCAACAGTTTCTTTTCTCTTTTTTCCTTTTGAGATGGAGTCTCACTTTGTCACCCAGGCTGGAGTGCAGTAGAGCAATCTTGGCTCATTGCAACCTCCACCTCCCAGGTTCAAGCGAGTCTCTTGCCTCAGGCTGGGACTACAGGCACGTGCCACCATGCCCGGCCACGATGCCCGTCTAATTTTTAGTATTTTTAGTAGAGACGGGGTTTCACCGTGTTAGCCAGGATGGTCTCGATGCCCTGACCTCGTAATCCTCCAGCCTCAGCCTCCCAAAGTGTTGGGATTACAGGCTTGAGCCACCATGCCTGGCCCAGCCCAACAGTTTCTTCAAGCAGTTAATCAAGAGGTCTTACCAGACCCCTCACCCAGCAGAAGGTCTCTGTACCAGCATAGGAAACCACATCAAAATGACCACAAGCCCTCTCAGTTTCAAAGTGGCAACAACTCTCTGAAATACTGAAGCTGGCTGTAAGCAGCTGTTCCATACGTTTACACATTCAATTCTACAAAAACTGTTCATTTCTTTGTTTAACCCGTGTGTTACTTGGAAGAATGCATGCTTCATCCGTTGTGAATGACTGTGGTTATGAAGGGAAGCGTGTCGGCCCTGGGGAATTCCAGAGTCGGTTTTCAGATAATGATAAGCCCCAGTAAGAAGTGAAACCAAAGCAGTACTCCTTCTGATACTTGGAAAATCCCCTACTCCAAAATATTTTTGCATATGTACATAAATTATGGAAAATTATACTATAAAACTCCTGCAACTCAAATGTAAGCCACTGGAATTATCTATTTTTTAAAATTAAAAATTATGTTCCTAGGGGACAAAGCACTTCCTCTCTTTGAAGTTAACAGTAGCTAACATTTACTAAGCACTTAAGTGACAGGCAAGTTCTAAGCCCTTTACGTGGAATGAACTTTTTAATTCTCACATCAACCCTCTGAGGTTAGCACCCTTCTGATTCCCACTGTTCAGGGGAAGAGAATGAAGCACAGAAAGGTTAAGCAACTTGTCCAAGGTCACAGAAGTAGTAGAACTGGGATTCAAAACCAGGCAGTCTGGGTCTAGCACACCCCACTTTTTAAATAACCAACCAAACTAGGTATGTAGACAAAAAAGCCAAAAGGAATCCAGTGAGCAGGGACAGGTGAAGGAGGGTGGGTTAAGGACGGAGGGCAGAAGAGAGCAGCTATACAATCCAGGCACCATGCTGCCCTTCCCAATGGGCTTTTCCCACTTAATCAGCACAATTCCCTCTGGAGTACACATTCCTCTCCCACTTGACATGAGACCCTGAGGCTTGGAGTGATTCAAGCAGCGTATGGAAGGGCATACTAGCAGGTGATGCTCCCAAACCCAGGTCTAGCTGACTACAAAGACCAGTGTTGTTTTTCCAGCCCATTTTCTCCCCAAAGTCATGGTTCTAAATTGCAACCTCTTCATTATGAATGGCACAGTCTAGCACTGGAGAGTGGTTAGCGTGGGCAGTGGGAGGCTGAGTCACCCCATCCCAGATGCACTGAGACGTCCCAGATGTCCAGAGAGCCTGAGTACAGTGCAGGTACTTAATTAATGTGCCAGTCTGGGAGTCGGGAGACTCAGGCTCTAGTCCCTCTTTTTGCACTGACATGTGGCTTTAGCCAAATCCCTAACCTGGGCTTCTAGTTTTCTTCTTCTTTTTATTTTTTTCTTTTTGAGACAGATTCTCATTCCGTCACCTAGGATGGAGGTCAGTGGCACAATCTCGGCTCACTGCAACCTCCGCCTCCCAGATTCAAGCGATTCTCGTGCCTCAGCCTCCCAAGTAGCTGGGACTACAGGCATGTGCCACCACACCCAACTAATGTTTGTATTTTTAGTAAAGATGGGGTTTCACCATGTTGCCCAGTCTGGTCTCAAACTCTTGACCTCAAGTGATCTGCCCGTCTCAGCCTCCCAAAGTGCTGGGATAACAGGTGTGAGCCACCACACTCAGACCTATTTTTCTTAAGTACAAATTGTATATAAGGGTGCCTGGCCAGTGCATCACGCAAGGTTGATGTAAAAGGCTACAAAAGTGAACTGGCCGTGACAACTGTAAGGAGCCAGACAGCTGATTTTTGCCAGATTGAATGTAACCAGGTCATCCCAGAAGTGAACATGGTGCACACATGCCAGCCCAGCCAGGAAGGCACTGCCAGGAGAATGGTTATCGGGGAACTTCACTCTCTCCCCTAGGAAAGCTGGACTCAGAGCCTCCACAGTGGTTTGGCTGGCCCAGGCTCAAAAGCTGCCTCTAAGGCAGGCCTGCCAGTCTAGGCCACCCACGGTGGCTCATGCCTGTAAACCCAGCACTTTGGGAGGCGGAGATGGGATGGTTACTTGAGCCAAGGAGTTCGAGACCAGCCTAGGCAACATAGTGAGACCTCTCTCTACAAAAAATTAGCCAGTATGATGGTGCACACCAGTTGTCCCAGCTACTCAGAGACTGAAGTGGAAGTATCGCTGGAGCCGGGGAGGTTGAGGCTGCAGTGAGTCGTCGTTACGCCTTTGCACTCCAGCCTGGGTGACAGAGCAAGACCCTGTATTTAAAACCAAACAAACAAAAAACAGCCAAGGGAAGGCCACCTTGTCTCCCAGGTCATGTAGGAGGGAAGTTTCTGAGGATTGAACAGCTTCCTCTCTCTCCTCCCTCCAAGTCCCTGTACACTTTGCACACGGGCTGGCATTCGGGTGTGGGTGGCAGAGTGCCATCTGCTACAGCATCCAGCACTAGGTTTCAATTCTGTGTTACAGAACCAGGAATGGTGGCAGTGCAGCATGTACTCGCTTATTAGAGGGCAGAGTATTTAGGTGAGACAGACCCCATAGGGTCCAGATTGGATAAGTGAGCGGGGAAGAACCTCCCACAGTATATCCTGAACACAGAAGGATCCCTCCAAGACTCTCACAGGCCCCCACCCCGTTGGTTCCGGTCCCCAGGAAGAGGAAGGGCTCAGATCAGCATAACAGTGAATCACCGAGCACTTCCACACACTGACCCCTCCAGGAGGGTGGAGAAGCTTGTCTGGCAACTGCCTACACAAACGGCAATTCTGAAGAGCAGCAAACAAACCAGTTTAGCCCCAAATCCCATTTTGCATAAGAATGCGCCCCACAAAAACAACACCCGAAGAACACTTGCTGATCACCACTGGTCGATCGATACCAGTTGCAAACACTAAAGTTTGAGCCAAGACAGAATTTTAAAAGTCCCGTGGAAGGAACTTTGAGTAAAGTGGTTTTGTGGAAATTGGTGCTAAAGTGTCGTTACACTGAACTCAAACGTTCCATGGGGAGCACCAGATACTTCAACCAACAGATCTTGGTAAACTTGGTTTCAGAAAGAAGTTAAGCCAGAGAAGGGTTTGGACCCATAAACCAAAGGGAACTTGTTAGTCACTAGGTGACTGTCAAGGTACCTGTTTTCTTTATGGTAATAAGAGGTTACACAAATTCCAGGAAGAAGGATTGCTAGGTGCAGGGGATGGTTAAGTCACAGGGGGACCGCCTGCCAGCTGGCCTCTGAATAGACCCTGACCATGGCTCCTTAATCCAGGGAAGCAGCAAAAACGAACAGCAATTGGGTTGAAATCAGGGCGAAGGCCCTTGCGTTAGGCCGGGAGAGTCGTTCTTAAAAACGTGCATCCTCCCAGAGGTCACGGCTTTCTTCACATCGTCCAGGTCGGGCACGGGTCCCAGAGAATGACATCCCAGTGTACATGAGGTACTCAGCGAAGACAGCGGGCATTGCTTCTCCCCTCCCCATCCCCGAACTACTCTTGCCAGCCATCAAACACAAGGAAAGATGTTCTCTACAACCAAACGGATGATTTCATCCACTTCTTCCTTAAACACCTAAAAGCCACAGCAACAGCACTAGTAGCTTTGCGAACCTGCAAAGCCCAGGGACTAAGGGTGTCAGGACACAGCAAGAGTGGCCCCTGCCCAGATCCGACACAAGCCTCGGGGGCTCCGGACGGCGTAGACGCCACACTTTGCTCGCGTCCCGCTCTGCACCTACCTCGCTCGCACATCCGCCAGCGTCCGGCACCTGAGCCGTCGGTTCCACAGGTGCCTTCTCCTCTTCCTCGGCGTCCAAGGGGCCACTCCGAGCCGCTCGGGGGTCCCCGCCGCCCCCCTGCACAGCCTGGCTGCCACCGTCCACGCTGGCGCCGCCGGCTCCTCCGGCGGACGAGGCGGCGGCGGCGGCGCCGAGCAGCCCGTGGGCCTCGTCCGCGCTCCCGGCAGCCACGCTGTGCACCAGCCACGCATCCACCCGGGTGCGAGGGATGAAGGGGACCCCGAGCGCGCGCACCTCCCGGAGCAGCTGGCCCTCGGGCGGCGCGGCAGGGTCCAGCTCCCGGCCCTTGGGGTGCAACTGGCCCGCGCGCCCCCACCCTCCCGAGGCGGAGAAGGGGTTGAGCGCGTAGGCGGAGCTGGCCGGGCCGCCCAGGAGCAGCAGCTCGTCCCGGAGCAGGGTGGGCGGCGGCAGCAGCAGGTAAAGGTCCAGGTCTACGCGAAGCCCCGCCAAGCTCAGCAGGAGGGTGAGGTGCAGGAGGCCGCCGCCGGCCGACCACCACCGCTTCAGGTGCTTCATCGCTGCCGCGCGCCCGGGAACGCCCCTGCCGGCGCCCGCAGGTCCCCGCGCCCCAGCCGCCGGGGTGACACGTGCGGACCCCACACGCCGCCCGCACCTGCCTGGAACCCGGAGAAGCGAAACAATGAACCGGGGCGCGCGGCGGCCGTCGCGGGTTCCCAGGACCGGGCACAAAGGTGTTCCCTCGGCAGCCGGCACCGTGCCTGGCACGACCGGGAATCGGGAGAAACGAAGGAGGAGCCACCTGCGCACGGAGCCCGTTCGCCCGGCCGCCCGCAGCCAGGCGCGCTGGCCAAGCTCCGCCCCAGGCCGCGGGCGCAGCCGCCGGGAACACGCCCTCTGCCGCCCCGGACCCGCGCCCGTGGGAGGGGACGTGCGGGGCGGGGCTCCCCGAGCTCAAAGCCTCTTTATGTTCGGGGAACGCAAGGCTTTCTGGGAGCAGAAGCTGTTCTGGGCACCAAGTGGCCCCTTGCCACCCGTGAGCTGCACCATCCTAGCTGAAAGCCAAGGGCGGGAGTTGGGGTGGAGGACTAGGTGGAGGGTAGCTGGGTGGGAAGGGACAGGACGTGTAGATTAGGCGGAGAGTGACTGGGCAACTGCGAGGCCTCTGGCAGCTTGCAAAGGGCTTCCACCTCCACGTGAGGACACTTGGCGGGCACAGTGGGCAAGAGTAACTTCTCTCAGTTCCCCTATCTGTAAAATGGGGATCATAGCGCCTGTCAAACAGGGATGTGATGAGGTCAGATGAAATATTTTGTGTACAGTTCGGAGTTTCACATATAAATTACACGTGAAATTTATATGTGCCATTGGGATCAGTCATCCTACCACTCTGCACACCCCAGTCCCCGCCTCACAGACCCCTCTCTCTTCTCTGGGCGTGCTCTGCATAGTGCTAGACCTCCTCTCTTGGTATCCTTTGCTCTTTATCCGTTGTTTCCTTGAGGGATGAGAGCACCAGCTCTACAGTTACCCTGAGTGAGTTCAAGTCCCCCCTCCACTTGAGGGGCGACCTTGGACAAATCTCTCCTTTTCTCTGTGCCTCAGTTTTCTCACTGTAAAATGAGACTAATAATAGCACCTCCCCAGCAGACCTTTTGTGAGCCCCAAATGAGATAATGCATGTAAACCACCGACCACAGCACTGCATAGGTAGGAAGTGCTCCCTGCTACCCATTGTTTGTATTACTCACCCTCAAGGCTTAGCTCCAAAGCTACATCCTCTGAATTTTCACCAGTTGGCATTAATCTCTCCCCCATCTGTTCCACAGTGCTTTCTCCGTTCGCCAACATTATAACAGTTGGCTCATTCTACTCTGTGTTGTAGATGAGAATCGGTCTGATTTGCCCATTGTAAATTCTTGAGGACAAGGAACCTGTTTGGTTCACCTTTGTGCATGCACAGTACCCAGCACTGGGCCTTGCAAGGGTAGATTTTACTAACCTTAGCTCCCTTCCTTGGAAGAAAAGGGGACAGGAGGGGATGTCCAACTGAGAATGGCCAGTTGTGTAAAAAGTTGAGCAAGACTTGTTTTAAAAGGCCCCTCCCTCCACCTGGGTTTTTCTTCTCTCTCCTGGGCTAGTGTAGTAAGAAGAGAAAAGAACGGGGACCAGGGGAGCAGAAACAGACTTCTTAAAGTCGCTTCCTCTGTGCTAAGCCTTGGAGGATGGGTTGGGGTGGCAAAGAGGATGAAGAAAGGTGATTGCCAGGTTACCATGACCCCGTTCACAGCATTTAGTCTCTGAACAGGGGATTCAGAGTCTCAGCTTAGTAAATGCTGCCTTCAGCTTTTTGCTGAGAACCTACTAATTGCCTGAGGCTGTGCTGGAGGCATGAAGGCTATGAAATGGAGTACTTTCGTTCTGTTAAGTTTATGGTTTCACTAGGGAGATGAGATAAAAATTTGTGAGATACCAAGAAACAAGAGAAATAATGTATTCGATTGCCAAAATACTTAGATGTAAATTACTTCAGGGTTTATGTAGGGAGCTCTATAAACTGTTGAGAGTAGAGGCAGTGCCTTCTTCAAAGTGGTGCCCTCAAGAATCTTACACACAGTTGATGCTCAAAAAAAATATTTATTAGTTGAATTGAGGAGGTTACACTTGAGATGTATTTTGAGAAATCTGAATAGACTAGGAACAGGAAGCGTATTCAAACTTCTAACATTTGTTGGGAAGTGGGCTGACCCCTCACCATTTTACAATGTGAATTGATAATCATAGTGTTAAATATCTTTCAGACTACCCACTTCAAAAGCGTGGCTTAACTCTGTGGCTTCTGACTGGCAGGAACAATGGTACCTAAAAGATCTTGCAGTAAAGTGTTAACCAGGAGACTATCCTACATACCCTTGACTTTACTCACAATAAAATGTCCCATTTTTAGGAGCATGGAGAGAATGGAATGAAATTAGAAGGAAAAACTTCCTAAGGTTTATTTCTAGAATCTTCCATCTAGGAATAGCCAAGTGAAAAGTCCAAACCATTGTCTTGTAAAAGCCTCGAAAAGTCATCTGCATTCATAAAATCCTGAAATCAGTGCAAATCAACTCAAAGGTTGACCTGAAACTGATGCCCGTATGTAAACTATTTGCTTCTGATCCAAATGAGATAAGTAATAGAATTGAGAATTGAAATAATTTTTTTTTCTTTTTGTAGAGATGGAGTCTTGCTGTGTTGTCCAGGCCTGTCTTGAACTCCTGGGCTCAAGCGATCCTCCTGCCTCAGCCTCCGTAAGTGCTGCGATTACAGGTGTGAGCCACCATGCTTGGCCTAAAGAAATTTATATAGCAATTTGACATCATTACAACATCAACAGATGAGCCGAGATTTTGCGGGTTTTTAATGCCTTTGTAATTTTAGGTTTCTAGAAATGAATTTCTATTTTATTTGACAAAAGTATTGACTTGCAACAAATTGAATTTTTTTTTTTAAGTTGATTCTTCACCAGGGTTAGTTTGAGAAGCACTGCCTTAAATGGCATCCTGGTAGGGTAGGCAATGCCTAAGATAATGTTCAGTGATTATTCCCTTCCCTTGAGCGTGGGCTAGACCTGGTGATGTGCTTCTAATAAACAAAATGTGGCAAAAATGGTGGGCTTTCATTTCTGAGTTTAGATTACAAAAAGATGGAGTGGCTTTTATCTTGCTTACCCTCTCTCCCACTTTCTCCCTCTTGGAGCCCTCACTCTGGGGGAAGGAAATGACCTTTTTTTTTTTTTTTTTTTTTTTAGACGAGGCTCTTGTTGCCCAGGCTGGAGTGCAATGGTGCGATCTCGGCTCACTGCAGCCTCCACCTCCCAGGTTCAAGCAATTCTCCTGCCTCAGCCTCCTGAGTAGATGGGATTACAGGTGCCCACTAACACGCCCAGCTAATTTTTTGTATTTTTGGTAGAGATGGGGTTTCACCATGTTGGCCAAGCTGGTCTCGAACTCCTGACCTCAGTTGATCCACCCACCTTGGCTTCCCAAAGTCCTGGAATTACAGGCATGAGCCACCATGCCCAGCAGGGAAGCTACCATGTTTTAAGGAGTCCTACGTAGAGGCTCATGTGGCAAGGCCAATATCCAGTGAGAGAGAAGCTGAGGCTTGCCAGCAGCCACTTGAGTGGGCTTAGAAGCTGATCCTTCTTCAGTTGAGGTTTGAAGTGACTAAGTTGGCTTGTAGCCCATGCTAACTCCTTGATTGCAGCTTTGTGAAAGGCCCTGAGCAAGAAGACTACACTGCACATGGATTCCTGACCCAGAAATAACTCTAAGATAATAAATGTTGTTTGAAGTCACTACATTTTGGGATGATTTGCTGCATAGTTGTAGGTAACTTGATACCTTGTGTAAGAGGTGGACATCGCCGGGCGCAGTGGCTTACGCCTGTAATCCTAGCACTTTGGGAGGCTTAGGCGGGTGGATTGTCTGAGCTCAGTAGTTTGAGACCAGCCTGGGCAACATGGTGAAACACCGTCTCTACTAAAATACAAAAAATTAACCAGGCGTGGTGGCATGCGCCTGTAGTCCCAGCTACTCGGGAGGCTGAGGCAGGAGAACTGCTTGAACCCGGGAGGTGGAGGTTGCAGTAAGCCAAGATTGCACCACTGCACTCCAGCCTGGGTGACAGAGCGAGACTCTGTCTCCAAAAAAAAAGAAAAAAGAGGTGGACCTCCAGTCTTGAGTCCAGGGTCCAGGAATTCAAGACTAGCCTGGGCAACATAGTGAGATTCTGTTTCTATTTAAAAAAGAAAAAGAGGTAGACATCAGTCAAGTAGAAGGAAAAGCTGAAAATGTAACTGCATTTGTGCCATACAGTTAATGATATAGTCAATAATTTATAACTAGGAAGTAACTTTACAGTAGTACATTCTAGTCCCTAGATGTATTTAAAGGGCTTAACCCTTTAAATGTAAAATTATAACTTGCCATGAAAGATAGTAACCACTAAAACATGGCCACCCCTACCTGGTATGAGATGAACACAACATAGCAATTTCTTGTAGACTTCTAAATAGAAAACACTTTTTTCCTCCTCTCTATACTCTCACACAACACTTCTGACAACCAAATGTGTGGGTTTTCGACACCAAGCAATTCTTCGATTCCAGTTCTCTGGGGTCAACAGGGTGTCCTCCAACCCAATTCAATTCTGACACTATTTGCCTGGAGTTAACATCAGACCTCACTTCAGATGCCAATCTCATCTCTGCCTTCTGAACTTCTGACTGACAGGCTATACACTGGGGGTTCCCACAACCCCCTTCTCAGGTTTGATAATTTGCTAGAATGGCTCATAAAACGCAGAAACATTTACTCATGTTTATGGGTTTGTTATAAAAGATACAATACATGGAAGAGACACATAGGGCAAGGTATGGGGAAGGGGCACAGAGCTTCCATAACTTCTCCAGGTACACCACCCTCCCAGCATCTCTATGAGTGCATCAACCCAGATGGTCTCCAAACCCCATCCTTTTAGTTGTCTATTTATTTTTTATGAAGTATTCATTACGTAGGCATGAGTTTTTTGTTTTTTTTTTTGAAACAGAGTCTTGCTCTATTGCCCAGGCTGGAGTGCAGTGGTGCAATCTTGGTTCACTGTAACCTCCACCTCCTGGTTCAAGTGATTCTCTCGTGCCTCAGCCTCCCCTAGTAGCTGGAACTACAGGCATGTACCACCATGCCTGGCTAATTTTTTTATTTTTTTATTTTTTATTTTTTATTTTTAGTAGAGATAGGGTTTCGCCACATTGGCAAGGCTGGTCTCGAATTCCTGG